CCCTGTAACGCGTCGGATGTATTTAGAACAGGTTATGGCTTCGTCAAAACACAATAACTTGAGCGCTTTGGGGGCCGCCGTTGACGCTCAGATTGACTTAACACTGACTTGGGTGGAGACTTTGCTGAAATTAAGGGAACTTCAGGCCCACTCAGAGACGCATTTTCTCGACTTGATGAACGCGGATCTACTTCTCCGAGAACGGTGCTCGGCAATTCGTTGGATTGAAGAGAAGAGATCAGTGGCCATCTGGATTCTCTATCACTGGTTTTATTTTGTGGAGGGCTACAGAATTTTCCCAAACTGCATTTCACGAAGCAGAAAAGTGGTGCTGCGACGATAGGTTTTCGCGCCCAAACGGGACTTCCACAGAAATCACGACAATAACGGGGGGGACTGGCTTTGTAGAGCGACTCGGTAGCGAGAACTCGTCATGATTCCCCGGTACAGGAGACCTCTTCGAGTGAGCTTGTACGGTCTGTAAGGACGTCAAGGATGAGACAACCTTTTGGTTCCACAGTAAACTTTTTATTCTAGGCCAGGCCAACAACTGACACGACTACTAGTGTATTCAAACTCGTAAACGAAAAACCTTTACAAAATACTTACTTAAATATTGAACTGGTGTGAGGTTCGATCGCTCTCTAAATTGACAATATTTGAAAAGATTACCAAAGAACTGAAAAGGTCTCTTTGAAGCTAAATAATTTCTATCTAAATATTCATATGTCTAAAATGAAAGAGCAGGTTCCGTAAACTTTAGGCCATTCAAAATAGGAAACTTAGGTGAGACGTCACGGCTTCGATATTAAAAATACTTTAAGTATATCTATCGTAATTTCAACAGAGCAGCTTCCAAAGTAAGTTTAAAACAGGCAATGAAAGTTTCTGTTTATCCATGCAAGGTTGGTGCTAAGTTTGGTCGTATGAAAGGCAATTGAGATTCCGAGTATAAACTCAGCTTCCAACTGCCACGAGAACCAATTTTACCAGAAAATATCATTAGCGCCTATATTTACCTAAAAAATTCCACCAACAATGAACAACATGAGTACAGAGATGCAGCTGTACAACTTAACTTGACTATTCAAAAACCACTGTGGCTTTTCATCTTTTAAAACATCACAATGAAAGAAAATTTCCTCGTAAATGTACTTACTTGGGGTAAAAATGATTAACAGAAGGATCTTGAACATTTTTCCTTTTCCACACCGGATGCAATTCGACGAGAGGGTGTAAAACATCCGTTTATGTTTCAAACGAAACATGGCTCGCTCAGGGGAAGAGGACACCGCTGTTGAGGAGAGAGAGAGAGTCAGGAAAATGAGTTTCAAGAAGAAACGTTGATCCGCCCAGTCACTCACGTCTTGGAAATCGCGAATTGTTCTCTTATGGCAACTGTCGAGGGAAACCTACGGAAAACGAGAATGTATGCTCCCAGGACACCGACTCCATTTGAAAGGCAAAGGCTTCTGTCCCTCAAAAAAGTCTTAGCTCTGGAGTGATAGTTATTTTACTAAAGAAGACCGCAGTGCTACCTTGGAATGAAACGAATTATTTTTGCACTTTCAGAAACCCAGCTTCAGTCTATAACCGAACACGAGCTATTTGGACCTAAGAACAGCCCCAGTTGGCGTGCAACAAATTAGACATGATCGCGTGATAGACTTGAAGGTCACTCTTCGTATGCGTAAACACCGACAAAAGTCATTAGGAACATCTGTTTTCCAAAATTAATGCAGACAAAAGGCAGAAGTTTGCCCTTATGGCAAACCGCCAAATTCTCGCCAATTAATCTTCGAAGAACGCGATGCCTCCAAATTTTGGAAAAACAAACAGTCATGTTTTTTTAACCATTTGGTATGGTATGGAATGGTAGCTTTACTTATGCACGGTATTTCCTTCAGGTACATTTACATTGGAGTAAACATTAGGGGATGTTAATTGCCGCACCTCAAGTGGCAAGCTGTCATTGTATACATTATATATGTCTGGATAAAAATTTCATCAGGAAAAAAATTTTTTTTCGCTGGTCTAGTTTGGCAGGATTGTGCGTGGTTTAAAAAAGAAATTTTACATACAGAAATACCTTAATAGGTGTAATCGGTGTATCTTAAACTTTGGGGGAATTTTTTTTTTCCTTTGAAGAGAGAACATATTGCCGTTTACATCAGAAAATTAGGTAGGTTCAGTCGGCGATATAATCTTTTCAGTTCTCGCCGTACGTGAGACTACAAGAGACGATAAACATCCCATCTCTCGTAGGCCTAGGGGCATCCACAAACGCATAATTGTCGCAGTCGCACTAAAGCTTTTTTTGTTTGTTTAAGAGAAAATCGAAAATCGTTCAAAAAGTAGCGTAAAATAAATGCGACCCCAAAATTAAAAAACTTACCAAATTATTGCAAATCACCAAATTTTTAAACTTAGAAGAACCCGATACCTCCAACTTTTGGCGAAACAAACAGTCATATTTTTAACCATTTAGCTGTCGTGATATGATGAAATTCCATCGCGAAAAAAATATCTTAGTCCGCTCTTCTAGTTTGGCCGGTATCCTATGGGATTTAGACCCCCTCCCCCACGAGATTGGGACTAGCGGATATGGACCTCCCATCCGAACTTTTGGACCTCCAAACAAAACTAAGTAAAAACATCGTTCTCCAGTAGAAATATAGAATAACTTACGTTCCAGTGCATATTTAAGTATTTTTTTATTCGAAACATACGTATTGATGTTATTTTGTTCTCAGTATCCCGTCACTTAGGATTTCCTTTGGGTTAAAGTTACGGTTTTCGTTCGGTAGGGGGTCCAAACCTGCGAAGAAACGTCCATCTCCGCCTTTGGACCGATGGGGTCCAAATCCACAAGCGGATTTAGACCGCCGAGGACGTGAGGGGAGTATATTCCCCTATTCCTTGCAGAAAATATCAAAACTTTAAGCTCAATTTAAGTCCCCTAATTTTCCCTTCAATACATTAGTGGATGTTAATTGCCGCACCTCGAAAAGCAAGCTGTCATGATACGTATTATATGTCTAGACAAATCTCACAGCGCTTATCAGCAAATAGTAAGGGAAACTTAACGAAATTATGCCAGCGACCCAGTGAAAGACTTCTTGTTTATTGACGATCGTGGTAAAAAATCTGTCATAACAAAATTTTTCCTTTGCATGATTTCGTGGGGACAATTTTAGTTTTGTATGCTAGCTCGGACAGGGTCTTGTGACAAGCCGCCAAATTTTCGCCAATTAATCTTCGAAGAACGTGATGCCTACAAATTTTGGAAAAACAGTCCTGTTAATTAACCAAGTTGAAATTGTAAATTGGCCACCGTAAAGAGTAAAAAGCTTTCGTTTCGACCGTTAGCCCTTCGTTGTTCGCTCTGACGAAGGGCTAAGTCAGCTTTTTCATTCGTTATGGTGGCCAATTTACAATTTCAACTCAGTTGATCTAACCAAATTACCTTGTTACCCCTACCGACGCAGCGCCACAGTTTCTTTAGAAACTTTTAGCCTTTATTCATGTTTTTTAACCGTTTGGTATGCTATGGTATGGTAACTTTATTTATACACGGTATTTCCTTCAGGTACATTTACATTCAAGTAGACAAAACTAACTACCTAACTAAACCAGAATCTAAGATAAAAACTAAAATAATTAGGATGAAAAGAAAACACCTGCTTTTTAAGGAGGCCGTGTGTAAATATAACATACCGCTAATTAAATTGTTTCACTGAATCGAAATTTAGGTTGAAATTTAGGACGAGATTCAGGTTTTCGCCTGACCTCATCAGAATATCCTTAACACTTAATCATCAAAAGTAATTGGAATCATCGCATTGGTTTCTTTATCCTTCGCATCATTTAACATTAAATTGCCGAAAATTGAGGCGTGCGCAATCCGTCATCCCCTACCATCTCCTCCATGTGGACATACTATTTAGCTTACATGACCACCATCACAAGTGTCTTTGAATTGGACAAAATGTTGCAGTCGGTTTGTAGACGTGTTCCTTCTAAGAGATCTCTAACTGCCCAGGTAATTATAAATGTTCATGTCCTCACTTCATAATTTTATTTATATAGACATGCCTTTAATGGAAAACTGTATGGTGAAAATGTGACCACTAACAGCTTTGTTTTGGTTGTATACTTACTCCACACGTGCACGCGTGGAGGTCGATCGCAGAGCTTATTTCCTAAGTTCTGTACTACGCTGTTATCGTGGAATCTCGATGATTTCGTGGAATCTCGACGATTTCCTTATTCTGTCAATCCTCACTGTGCAGGCTTGACCCTGCAAGATGTAAGCTTCCTGCAAGGTTTTATTCGTGTTTAATGAAGATTCGTTAATTGGAGATTAAATAAAGTATATGTATGTATATGTATAGGTATGTATGTATGTATGTATGTATGTATGCATGCATGCATGCATGCATGCATGCATGTATGTATGGTGTGTTTTCAAGAATGTTGTAATCTGATTGTGCTGAATTGTGGACGCCTTGTATTCTGCAGCATACACCTTTATTGATATCTAACGGGCTCTACCAGCAACTAAAACTAATCGCTACATCTAGTCACAAGCTCGGCTTTTATAGGTGCGGTTGAGAGTCTAGAATGTTCCGTAACATTACAATAGATCAACTCTATTTATATAGATTAATTCTGAGGGATGACTCAGCATGACACAGCTATTTTAGAACGTTCTTAAAGGTTACACTACATATGCTTCTCGCTCTATAATACAACGAATACATTTCATGTTACCGTGCATCTGTTCAGTTATAGATCAAAGATGACTTCAAAATATGGATTCCTACCCCTACCCCTAACCCTGTAGGAGATGGGACCTCCATTTATTCGTCCCTATCCGAGAAGACTAGAATATCTAACCATTACTTGATGTTATAGAAAGGTAGCATATTCTTCTCAATTATTTTAAGACCTTGAGTGTTGGTCCGGCCGGGGCTTGAACCCTCAACCTCCCGCACAACAGTCCAGTGCTCTATCCACTGAGCTAACCAGGAGGCAGTTAAAGTTCAGCAAATAGCTGGTTTAAATGGGGTCCAAAGTTGTTGGATTGGTGGTATGGCAAAAGAAATGTTTCAATTGAACATTTAGCGCCTACATAAACACTTTTTTTTGTCTTTTTTGTCTCGTAGGAGGCCTCTCTTATATAAGCCTTAAAGTTTCTGGAGGTCCCCTTACCATCCAAAAGTATTGTTTTCTAACAAATATTTATTTATGAATGGCACATAAAATTTATATTTGTGATGTATGATTCAGGGTATCATAAAATCTCTGATTGATAGTTAACTGAGTGTGCTGTTGGAAACAATATCAAATAGGAACACGAGCCTCTCATGTTGTTAAATCTTGAACCAATAGATGTAAACTAATAAATGCAATTTGGTGACTTGCTCTTGATTTCTACACATGATTGATAATGGGTGTTTAGCCCTTGTCAGCTGTCATGCAATATAAACCTCAAGCTCATAATCAAGTTGTTGTTATGACTCACTTCTTCCTCTTTAGTTATGCAAGAGGTTACTGAGTCTAGCAAAAGATGAGGGTCTCACAACTTGCAGTCAAGAAGGTGGCATAAGAAGAATTGTGCTGAACAATCCAAAACGAAGGTAGAGCACTAACTTTTAATTCTCACTGGCAGACATTACAGGGCTGCAGAGTTTCGGGTTCCTGGCTTACACACTTCGGCAACTTGTATGGAACACCTAAATAAAATCAAATTAAATCATTGGTAATGATAACACAACATCCTGCAATCATAAACCTAAAACAAGAGGAATGAAACTACCGTATTGAGTGCTTGCACATCAAAGAAGCTGTTGTTTTGGCTGAGAACATTGCATGGATGCTGAAGCCTTGTGAAAAATTATTATTATCATCATCATTATTATTTTCATCATTATTATTACCATAAGAGTATACCTTTTTTCTCTTCAGGAATGCCCTTTCCTTGAAAATGCTGGATGCAATTAAGTCAAACCTACTTCACCACTTAGACTCTGATTTAAGAGTTATTGTCTTGTCTGCTGAGGGAGGTGTTTTTTCCTCTGGACATGACCTTAAAGAACTGGTAAGGCCTTTGGTCTTGTAGCAAAATTACTAGTTTATTGAGCTGCGTTGGTTTGGTAGAAGACTTGTTTAATAGACTAAAGCTGCCATGCTAGTGAGTAAACTACAAGGGCCCCGTAACCGGGCCACCATTGTCCCAGCATGCAGTAGGCCTAGGACCCATTCCTAACGTACGATACTACAACTTGAAGTTGACAATGAAAGGTATATAAACTGGTTTGGTGAGTTTTGAAAGGCTAAATTTGTCCCTGAGGTTTTTTTTGTTTGATCCTCATCTAAATGAGATCTTTGGTCTTTAAAAATTGGTCATTGAACTTATGTTTTGAAGGAGTGTATAGCTCTTTCAAACAAAATAGAAGACAACAGTTATTATCTGGTGCCAAGAAGTGTTTGAATTATGCAAACTGAGTAGTGAATTGAGTACTGAGTGAGATATTTTGGGCTAAAAATTGCAGACAGAAGAGGAAGGCACAGACCATCATGCACAAGTCTTTCATCGTTGTACTGAAGTCATGAAACTTGTTCAGGTACATGATGCACTAAACAGCAGCTGATAATATTAAATGTTGTCCTATTTGTATACTTCTATAAAAGTAAGACCAAGAGAAATATTAAATATGGTATTGAATGACAAGTAGAAAAATGTAGGTTGCATTTGGAAGCCTTAATACTAAACTGCTTACTAACCTTTTTATTGAATATTTCAGGATATACCTGTACCTGTCATAGCGCAAGTGAATGGTAAGTATAGGGAAGTACATGAACCTGAATGCATCTCAAGATCTTTAGGCAGGAGTGATGTTGAGAAAGTTGTTGTGTCCTACTCAATGTGATTTCTTTATTTCTTGCACAATTCTTCAGTGATTACTAGCTGTGTAAGAAGAGCCATAAGTTCAGAGCCATTTTAAACCACCAAAAAAAAATACACTAAAAAAAAAAACCACTAAATTACCTCTATATGCTTAGAGTAGTACTTTGTATAAGTGAGGGAAGCCTTGCTGAATTGTGTTGGATCATACTAGGAAAAGGGCAGCTCAGCAGATAAAGAGAAATGCATATTCTTGCAACTCTTCATGATAGTTTTGCATCTCTTCATCCTAATATCAGAAAGCATGATCTCCACACTATTCTGTATACCTTTCTTAAGGTTCTGATGCGGAAAATTTGTTTCCCATTCAAGAACTTCTCTAATTGGTGATCATTTCCTTCATTCCTTAATGTGTGATTCAGGGATGAAATTGTAAGAAGGGTTCAATAGTTTAATCTTTTTTAGAGTGGTTTTAAGTAACTTGTTTAACTTGTTTAACTTGTTTTGTGTTCAATTCCAAGGACTTGCAACTGCTGCAGGATGCCAGTTAGTAGCCAGTTGTGATATTGCTGTGGCCTCCACCAAGTCACAATTTGCTACGCCAGGGTAAGTATGCATAGAGCAACGAAACTACAAGAAAAAAAGATCAAGAATACACTTTATACATCATAACATTATAAATTGTTTCACTGACAAAACCACTTGTTCGTGAATGATGTGGCTGTCAATCATTTTTGTAGGTTCATGAGGCATTTTTTGTTTTGTTACCCTGATAACTAAGAGGAAAGAGGCAAATTTTCATAGCACAAAATGAGATTTTTTTACCTCATGTTACCTTTAGAACATCAACACCAAGTAATAAAAACATTACAATTTCCTTCTTGATCTCTTAAGACAGGCAACATTTGTTGCAAGTACAGTTGCTGATACATTTTCATACTGATCATGGCAACTAAAATGGTCACAACTTGGAGTGTGTTCCATATATTTTGAAAGGCTTGGGGTGACTTCATGATTGAGGCAATACAACAATTGCATGTAGAGGCTTCATTTGCTCTGTACATCCACCTCTACTGGTGCATTTCTTAACCAACAATGCTATGTATGAAGTTGATAGAAATAAACAAGGCATGTAGAAACACTATAATTATGAGAATTCACTGTTGCTGTTGTTGTTGTTGTTGTTGTTGTTGTTTTGATAGTGTCAACATTGGGTTGTTTTGTTCAACTCCTGGAGTTGCTTTGGCTCGTGCTGTGCCAAGAAAAGTGGCATTAGAAATGTTATTAACTGGAAACCCTATCGGTGCAGATGGTAAAGGCATTCTTCAATGTTTTTCTGGCTAGAGATTTTTTAGGCTCTTTTAGCAGCATTTGTATGGCTAGTTAGTTCTTCCTCACCTGTTGTATCTTTAGAGAAGGGTTTTGACAACATGATTTAGACCCCTAGCCAGTGAAAAATTGATAATTATTACCCCCCCCCTTATGTTCCTTCCTCTACTAATCCCCTACCCCCTATCTCCCTAACCCCCGCCTTCGGTAAGAAAGTGACTATTCTGCAGTTGATAGCCGGTCGCACTGACAACTCAGTCACCTGATGGAAGGCTGAGTCATGTTAAACCAACAACCGTGTTGTATTATTTTTCCATTTTTTACAGATGCTCTCAAGTCTGGCCTTCTTAGCAAGGTTGTACCTGAGGAAAGCCTTGAAGAAGAAGTCAATGCGATTGCGAATAAGATTGCCTCCCTGAGTCAGCCTGTTGTAGCTATGGGAAAGTCATGTTTCTACTCGCAAACCATGAGGGGACGGGATCAAGCTTATGTGTGAGTGACAGCTAAGAATGACAGAATTCCTCTTCAAATTTCACGCGGAAATGTGAAGCTCTACGATTGGTTGAATTAAATGTTCTATTTTTGTTTTTTCCCCATAGACCCTTTAAGGTATTTTCTACTTAAATTTTAACCATTTAGAACCTATTTTTGTCGTAGTGTCTAATTCCAGGTTAGAGCGCACCATCTCAAGTTGAGTTTCATCAGAACGAAATCATCGATTTGCTGTAGCCAATCAGAACAAAGAAAAGTGTCACTATAAGCCAGTGAGATCTCGAATTGTAAGTTAGTCACTGTCAAAGCGCGGAGAAACGCAAATGAACAAGACCCCATTTGCTTAATTTTGCACCTTGTTTAATAGAGTTACTATACCAAATAATAAAGTGTCGAAGATGCTTTTCGTTTTTCTGTTTAGAAACCAAAACTTAAGTCTTCCTAAAAGGAGAAAATGACCCTAGTGAGGCTTTTAATCAATGTTTGGAGTTACAACTTATCCTTTTTCTGTATTCACGTAGTTGCTAATTTTGTTCCTTTTTAGAGAGGCGGAGGCAGTAATGGTTGAGAACCTGAAACTTCATGATGGGCAAGAAGGAATCAAGGCTTTTCTCCAAAAGAGGAAGCCATCTTGGACACACGCAACTGACTGACATTAGCTGTAGTTAGAAATTAAACAATAATCCATTGCGTTGGTTTCACTTTACTTAGTTACTCTCTGTAATTACTTATTAAAACGAGAGAACGGGAACAAGGTTGATATTCCATCAGTACAAAAAAAAAATCGCTTTACATACCTCAATCATACCTCAATTTAATTTAACGATCTCAGTTTGTTGGAGACAATCAGGCATGTTTGTGGAGGCTGAAAAACTCGCGACACATCAAGACCAAATTCGACGAGCTATACTGGTCTGAGCCAAATTCGAACTCTGAACCTCTTTGGTCAATGATATGATGATGAAGATCGAGATTAATGACATCACAAAGAAACTAAATTATTTTATCCTTTCTTGGATAGAAATTTTAATTATTATTTGTAACTAGATTAACCTGGCAAAATGTTACACCAACGCATACAAATGTTTACTTTAACTATTGTAATGTTTTTGCATGTAACATGTTACAAAAATAAATAAATAAACGGAAATAACGCGACAAACTGATGATGGCATAACTGAGCCATGCCAAGAAATGTCTTCAAAAGTTTTCACAAGAATTTGAAACTTTTTTGAGAATATTAATGGTTAATAAATTGGAATGATACAAATAATTTCTGAAATTTGCAAATCAGTATAAAGCAAGTATTGTTGGCTGAAAAGCCTTGTCCAATATATCTTTCTTAAAGCTAAGCACTTGAAATTATCCAGGATTCGCCATGAGTGGAAAGGTGCAATCCCAACACAAGAAAGAAGTTTTTCCACGCAATAACAAGACAAGAGCAAACAACGCTGTCAAAAGGGAGGCTAAAGTTTAAACCTCAACGTAAAATTCACGACCGAAAGCTGCAAAAAGGGCTCTTTTAATAGCCCATTTCCGAATTGCCTTTAGCCTCTTTTTGAAAGCGAGTCCTGGTGCTCTTCCTTTCGTATGGTAATAAGTTTTCATTCACATGCAAATTAAACTCATTTTCATACGTATGGTTGAGCACCAGGCCTCGTTTTGAAAAAGAGGCCAAACGGAATTCGGAAATGGCCCATTTAGAACACTTACCTTCCTCGTCAGCTAACAGCCCACCCACCTTACAAGTTAAATATACAAAACAGTTGTTGACTAGTTGTTTTCTTCCCGACGACTAACCTTTTTACGTTGTGATGTCAGAAATAAACAGGTTTGCACGCGCTTATATTGACCAATTAGATTCGTTATCTCTATCTGACGTCAACAAGAGCTCCCCAGTGTCTCTCCCAGGGTCCTCTCTCTTCTTCTTTCGAGAGTGGAATATGTAGAGAGGACCCTGGAAACGAGGTCGAATAACCCCACTGGCGTGCGGGAACTTGTGCGCACACTTCATCGTCATTTGTGTCACATTCAGCACACGCACTTAGAGATCGTCCTGGACAGAAAAGGGTCTGTTGATGATCAATCCTGAACTCCAAGATCCACTGTTAACCTGGTCCAGGGAAACGGTTGCTTTAGCGCACGGAATCCTCTGTTTCCGACCGCTGGATAAGGGAATGACTACTCTGGAAACGAAATTGGTCTGTTATTGGTGCGCAGTCGATTGCGCAGTCCACAACACCCCAAAAATAGATGAAAAAAGGTAGTGTTGGTAAATAAACAAATTTTTTTAGCACCATTTTGAAGCGATCCAATCCAACCTCTAAATGGTCAGTAAAAATAATTTGATAGCAGAATAATCCCGTAGCAAGCTCTAGATTTCGTGTTCAAAGAACAGCTGAGAGATTTACTTAAATTCGAAGGATGTAAGCTTGAAACCAAACTTAGTCTTCATTCAGTCGTTTAGCCATCTTCTATGGTTGTGAGGCAGGATTTCAGTGGGGAGGACTGAGGCGATCGTTTGACACGGAAATGAAACGAAACACGCATGCGTATCTGATCGAGTCCTTTTCAGCGAAATTTACATTTCTACACCGGCGCTCGAATTAATGGCTAAAAGTACGTGAAACTGGTAGAATTCTCCACAGGAATTTAAGCAGAGAGATGCAATCTAAGGATATAGTTAGTACGCTAAAGAAATTCGATGCATACCCGAAGACGCTCGAAGATTTTCGAGTGAAAACTTTCGGTGGAGCGGCAGGTAGGCTGACTTTAAATGGATTCAGCTGAGGTAAAATTAGTTAAATACTGCCGCTAAGTGAAAAACAAAGGATTTGTGTGTTAATCTGGTGGGCCTACTGAAATCATCAAAATAACAGGTAGTTTAAAGGTAAACTATTCCATGAGTAGTTGTGGGAAGACCTTTGCAAAGTAAGTTATGCATTGTGTTACGTGGCAATTTGTAGGACGCATGTGTAATTATTATAATGATAACTGTAAAAACAATGTTTTTATGGCTACCCAGTGATCAGGGTCCTAAATAAAGTTTCAAAGCCATTTTTAGGCAGTATTTAGTGACAAACGTGTCGACTGATTGACCCATGCATGTTTTAGTTTCACCTCTTAGCTATCCAACGGTTAGGTTGTCTGACAGTTGGGTTATCCAATCAAATGCGTCCATGTGTTGAGGAGGACTGCATTCATTCTCTAAATCGATAAAACACGTACTTTCTCAAAGAAAGGGATTTTTTTAGAAAAAAAAGTCCTACTTTTTAAACTTAAGTTTAAGGCCATAAGCTCCCCATAACAGTTTTTATTTCCCATTAGTACTATATCTCAGTGCTCTGGTTTAGTTCCTGTAGGAGTGAAAGACCCTCGAGATGTTGAAATTAATGTGTGGGGATAGCGCAGTGGTGAAAGCGCTCATCTCCCACAGTGGTTTCAAAACAAGCTGGCGACAGCCGGAGTTCCGCCGATTACTTGATTGTATGTCACCAGCAGTCTGCTCGTAACAAACAATCTGGGCGTTGTCATAGCCTCCTACTTTTCCAGAGTTGGCCGCCTACTTCAAAACATTTTGAAACCCCTGCTCCCACCACTATGGTCCTGGTTCAGTTCCTGGACCTGTTGTCACATGTGGGTTGAGTTTGTTGTTGGCTCTCATTCTTGGTCCAAGGGCTTTTTGCTGGGTGCTCTGGTTCCTCCTCTTTCCACTAAAACTGACATCCAAATTCCAGTGAACAAGAAGAGCCAAGTTGTGGGATGTTCACTGCTAAATTTTGATCATTATTATATCTATTAAATTTCTCTTCTGATTCTTCTTCAGTGACATTGGTTAGCGGATTGTTGATGTTCCTTTTATTTGTATCAGAATTGAGTTTTTACTTAACAACAGAGGTAAGAGATTCATCAAAGTGGCAGAACATTTATATTAAGTCACTTATAGCTCTAAATGTAAGAAATTTGTATACAAAATTGTTTCTGAACAAAAACTGTGTGGTTCTATGAACTGACAAACTTTTACAATTTTCCGTTTGCAGGTTACACCAGAACTTTATGTTGATACTGCCAGAGGAGAAAAGCTTAGAATTAATGTAGATATCATTTTCTCAAAATTACCCTGTGTTTGTAAGTATTTTTTTTAGTTTTAACTTTGTTGTAGACAACTGATATTATATCAGATAAAAGACTTTCATGCTTGTTCTATGGGGATAAGTTTCTAAAGAAGCTGTGTGGCTACATAAGAGTTCATTTAGGTTTACCGAGGCCAACTGAGTTTATAATGTAAGTTGATCACCATAGAGAGTTTCTTAATCTGACATTTTGAAAATTAGCCCTTTGTCAGAGATCTGAGGGGTAAAATGCTTGAATTGACAGATTTGAAATCTAGCAGAAGTCCATGTCTGACCTGTGGTTTTTGTTTCATGTTTGAATGCTTTTCACAGTCTTCCCAATCTTGATCCACCAGTGGTAGTTAGGGGAAGTGCATGGAAGTATTGAAATGAAGGTCTGATTATTGAAAGAAATACCTCGCCAGAGAGGTGCACCATACGGTTAATAACCTGTAGTCAGATTTTCTTTATTGGAGGGGGGGGGGCAGAAGTTAGTGGCAGAACATCAGGGGTTAGGTATTGCAGTTTTATACTATGCTCCTCTCCAAAGAACATTTGATCATGATGAAAGGTTTGGGAATTTACAATGATCAACAATACATGTGTCAAATGTAGTAAAGGCCTTGTTCTAATCTGTGACCAAGTTATGCAGCCTATAAAAAGAATTCTTTTGTTTAAAAAAGAAAAGTACTGTGGCTAACTTGAAAAACCATGGGATTATATGAAACTTATACAAGTCTGTTTTTTTTTTTTTTTTTTCAGATTTAAGTATCGATGCTATGGATGTATCTGGTGAACAACAGGTGAATTGATTTGAAAATGGTATTAAGTATTTAATGAACTCATTGAGTCCTGTGAGTGACCAGCATCTAATTTTTCCTTACAATATCACCCCTGAATCAAACATTGAGGTCAGGAGAATAAAGGAAATGATCACCAACTATAGAAGTTCTCATTTGTTTAACATATTCTCCTTGTCAGCACCTCAGGAAATGTAGAGAGAACAGTATGGAGAATATGCATGCTGATGTCAGATTGTAAAGTGTTAAAGCGCACCTAAACCCAAAAATTTTTTTTCGCTTAACGAAATAAGCGTATTTTTTGGAGTATTTCTGTGCAAACATTTTTTATTTGCTCAAATCTTCAATTGTCTGTGCCCAGTCAAAATATGGAAAATCGGCCGCCATCTTGCCCCACGGCCGAGTTTATAGAGGAATGGCTCTAGCGGGTAATGTGACGTCAAATCGAGAACACGAAAGTCTGCATTTCACACATTTTCGCTTGTTTAGGAAGGTTGTAGTCGATTTTGTCCGAAAATATGCCGACTAAGTGTGTTATAGGAGGATGTAGCAACGTGCGAAATTTGCAAGAGGGTATCACGCTTCATACGCAACAACAAGTTACCAAGTTTCTACAAAAGGTACGTCGATGACACATTAGCCACGATGCCAAATATTCAAGCCGCAACAGCTTTCCTTTCAACATTGAACGAATGCCATCCTGCCATACAGTTCACAATGGAAATTGCTGAAAACAACAAGCTTCCATTCCTCGGTATGATGATTGAGAAAAACGGTTGCCACCTGACAACAAGCGTATATCATAAACCAACTGATACAGGACTGCTCTTACATTACCAGAGCCATGTCGATCAGCGTTACAAAAGATCTCTGCTGAATACAATGCTGAACCGAGCTTACCGCCTGTCATCAACGAAAGAATCTTTTACGAAGGAATGCCAGCATCTCAAGCGGATGTTTACTAAGCTTAAGTACCCAGTGAAACTCATCAACTCAGCTATCGCCTGGTACACGAGTTCTACGATCCAAAGCCGTCACGAAACCCCAACTGAACTTGACGCGGCTACACAAAAACCTGTCAGAATAACTTTACCATTTAAAGACCAAAAATCGGCCGACACAGTAAGACATCAGCTGAAAGATCTTGGCCGGAAAATCGGAACTGACCTACAACCAGTTTTCACGAGTCGTAAGATCGAGGGAAAGCTCAAGATACAAGAAGAGAAGCCCGCTTTAATTAACCACCAATGCGTTGTTTACACTTTTAAATGTGATTCGTGCGATGCGGATTATATCGGTTATACCACACGCCATCTTCATCAACGCATAGAAGAACATAAAGCCTCTGTCATTGGCAAGCATCTGAAAGAAGCCCACAGTGTAGCGTCCACTAGCCTAGAGGAAATGTTTTCCGTTCTCAAGAAATGCCGCGGGAAAATGGACTGCCTAATTCACGAAATGTTATTCATTCGCGAACAAAAACCAAAGCTAAACACGCAGTCTGACTCAATACGTGCAAAAGTATTTATTTAAACATATACTGCACGATCTGACATGCTAAACACCAATAACAATGAACACTCATTATTCTAATGAAGTTATCACATTTTATTTGTATATAATCTCTGAGCTACAATTTTACATCAGTTTTAACATTTTACTTGATAATGAGGTCATGCAGACTTCGAAACATCGTAGTTTTTTATCAAAAATTAAGACTTTTGTGTTTAATCTACATGAATGCACATTTTTATATTTTTTCTCTCTCTCTTAAACAGATCTTGGTGATAAAAGCCACGAGGCTAAAGAATTACTTGAGGTGCATTAAATTAACTTTGTTCTGATGTGAAAAAGTTTGTTTTATTTCCATAACATCACAGTTGGGTTATTACACACGTAATCTGAAAGGAACTGAAAGTCCAGACTTGCTTAATTTACAACGAAGTTATTTCCTTTACAGCTTGATCCCAATAGGTGTGAATCTTGTTATGGTGCTGAGACAGTTGGAAAAACTTGTTGCAATACATGTGAAGATGTAAGGGAAGCCTACAGAAGGAAAGGATGGGCCCTATCAGAAATAGACAACATCAAACAGGTACCTGTCTTTCAATGAAGCTTTCCCAGCTTAAACACAAAGGTGCGCCATATAAGGAAGTCTTCCCCGGGAAGACCTAGGCTCATTTGTCACTCACCGTTGACGTGTGTGGGTCAAATTCAAATGCTGGTAGACGAACAAAAGGAGCTAATGAGATATCTATTGTTTACTTCCACCAGCATGGTGGCTTGAGGTAACGTGCGAACCACCTACTTCGATATCAAACTTACCGCCACAAATAAAGACAGTTTCCATTGGAGAAAGGATGTACAAATCTCAAAACTTCTTGTATCATGATAAAGACATAAAACAATTTTGAGGAATGCGCTCGCTGTTTGCTGCTTTGGAGTAGCTGTAGCTCAAGCTGACTTGACTCTAAGAGTTCTACATCACACGACGTTTGATTGACAAATGGTCCAGTGGGACCTAAGGCTCCTTTTATAGTGTGCCTTCATGTTTAAATTCTCTGTTGTTCCCAGAGCTGCATTGTTTAATCTGGAGATCTAGATTCAAGTTTGAGCCTTTTTTGCATTCTTAATCCTTAATCATTTCTTTTAATGTAGTCATTTTTATGCAGTAGTATTAAAACTGCAATTCCCATAACTTTAAACTTCAGTGTCTTAGAGAAGGTTGGAAAGACAAACTTCAAGAGCAGAAGAATGAAGGCTGTTTAGTAACAGGCCATCTGGAAGTTAACAAGGTTCGTCATGAAATTTACTTGAAGATAAAGTTTGAGAGTATTCTTTTTCCACACAACATCTTACAAATTTCCTCTCATTGTGCAGAAATGCTGGTTCATTCAGTTTTGTTGTAATTTCTACCATGGTAGGTGGCTGGGAACTTTCACTTTGCCCCAGGAAAAAGTTTTCAACAGCACCATGTTCATGGTAGGGTAAAGTGATGATATTATCTGTGGTTCCTTTTTTTTTTTTTTTTCCTAAACTGAGCTGAACTGAACTATACCTGTACCTGTCTTTACAAACTATTACTACTGGTATATCATGTAAACAAATGCATGAATGAGTAAAGGAATTCAATGGGTAAATAAGTGGATAAATAAAATGAATGAATGAATAAATAAGGAAATAGGATGAAAATGAATAGATCATGAAAACACAAAGTTACTAACAAATAATAAATAAATGAAATATGTTGGGGGATCTACAGTATTAAGTGATGATCAAGGGATGAAAAGTTGGCTTGTTTTTTTTTTAATCATTTAAGGATCAGCCAGAGTTCCATTGGCAGCTATGAAGCAGTACAAATCTTACCAAAAAGTATACTAATGGACAGTTGCCATTGAAATAGCATGGCATTGGAATCAGACCTAATTAGTCAATGTTCACAATTTTTTTTTCAAAGCACAAGGAAAAGTCGGCATGGTATGCTCAGTCTGAGCAGAGAGGTGCATGTCTTGAGTCATTCCAAATGATTGTTTTTTGTTTACTTGAGGGTGTTGTGATCATTGTCTTTGACAATGTAGTCATTGGCAAAAAGGGAAGCAAATTTTTCTCAGAGCGTAAAAAATAACCTGGCATTTGGGGTCAGTTAAGTTTGCAGCTAGGCCAACAACTTTATTTCTTTGTTTACATTGTTCGAAGAACAAAAAGTTACTGTGCTGCACTGCACTGTACTGTATTGTACTGCACTGTGCTGCACTGTACTGTATTGTACTGCACTGTACTGCACTGTGCTGCAGTGCACTGCACTGTACTGTATTGTACTGCACTGTACTGCACTGAGCTGCACTGGACTGCACTGTGCTGCACTGCACTGTATTGTACTGCACTGTGCTGCACTGCACTGTACTGTACTGCACTGAGCTGCACTGGACTGCACTGCACTGTACTGCACTGTGCTGCACTGTACTGTACTGCACTGAGCTGCACTGGACTGCACTGCACTGTACTGCACTGTGCTGCACTGTACTGTATTGTACTGTACTGCACTGAGCTGCACTGGACTGCACTGCACTGTGCTGCACTGTACTGTACTGTATTGTACTGCACTGTACTGCACTGAGCTGCACTGGACTGCACTGTGCTGCACTGCACTGTATTGTACTGCACTGTGCTGCACTGCACTGTACTGTACTGCACTGAGCTGCACTGGACTGCACTGCACTGTACTGCACTGTGCTGCACTGTACTGTATTGTACTGTACTGCACTGAGCTGCACTGGACTGCACTGCACTGT